AAACTTTAGTAACTAGTAACTTAGTAAACTTTAGTAACTACTTCACTGTTCAGTAAATTTTTAATGTGATGGATAGGCTTGAGGAAGTGATACCAGAAAAAAAATGTCTTTTCAAAGGAAGTGGCAATCCGCTATTTCCCAAACTGTAGGCAGAATTCCAGGATGTGGGACCCGGAGGATCCTTGTTTTTAAAAACCTGGTTACGGGCAGAGCTCAAGACTCTGATCCAGGGGTGGGTTGCTGCTGGTCCCTGCCGGTTCTCGCGAACCGGTTGGTCACCGGACCCGGAAGTAAGCCTGCCCCGCCCCTGGCCCTGTATACCCATCCGGGCCAGACGGTATTTTGTCTCTTCTGTCTCCCCGTTGCTCAGAAAAGCAACTTCGGGAAGGTCCTTTGCTAGCAGGCAGGTTTTAGGACGCCTGCTGCCATCAAAGGACTTTCCCGGAGTTGTTTTCTGAGCAACGGGGAGACAGAGGGGACAAAATACCATCCGCTTTCCCCGTGCTCAGAAAAGCAACTTTGGGAAGGTCCTTTGGTGGCGGCAGGCATCCTAGAACCTGCCTGCTAGCAAAGGACCTTCCTGAAGTTGCTTTTCTGAGCACGGGGAAAACAGACAGTATTTTGTCTCTTCCGTCTCGGCGTTGCTCAGAAAAGCAACTCCGGGAAGGTCCTTTGCTAGCAGGCAGGTTCTAGGATGCCTGCCACCACCAAAGGACCTTCCGTCCCCTGGCCTGCCCCTTCATGCCACTCGCCTGCCAGCAGAAGCCTTCTGGGAGGTTTTGGCTGGCGGGCACGCAGAGGGAGGAAGGGGAATCCATGCAGAGTACCAGGCAGGTTCCAGGACGCCTGCTGCCACCAAAGGACCTTCCCAGAGTTGCTTTTCTGAGCAACGGGGAGACAGAAGGGACAAAATACCATCCGGCCCAGATGGGTATACAGGGCCAGGGGCGGGGCAGGCTTACTTCCGGGTCCAGTGACCAACCGGTTCGCAAGAACCGGCGGGGAACGACAGCAACCCACCCCTGGACCAGAGTCTTGAGCTCTGCCTGTAACCATAGCGGGCAGCGCCCCAACTCCCCCACCCCCACCGCCATGCTGCCTCAGGAGCAGCACCTCCTGCCCACAGAACTGAGGCGGGGAAGAAGATTGAAAGACATGGAGCCACGGACTCCTGGAGCCACGGACTCGCCATTTTCCCCACCACAGAGCTCTCCTCCTTGGGTGGGACCAGGGCGCGCGCAGGGTGAGTGGAGTTGGCGACCAACTTTAAAGTGAATGGGGCTGTTTGTGACTAAATGGGACAGAGAACATAAAGGAATGCAAGGGAACATGGAGGTAATCTAGTCCAACCCCTTCCCAAGGCAGGAGTCCTTCCTTTTCTTTGAGAGCTGTCAATGACAGACATGAGGGAAATGGTGTGTGTATGAATGAGAGAGAGAAAGAAAGAAAGAATGAGAAAGAGAAAGAAAGTTAGAGAGAGAGACAGGAAGGAAGGAAGGAAGGAAGGAAGGAAGGAAGGAAGGAAGGAAGGAAGGAAGGAAGGAAGGAAGGAAG